GCGGGTTGGGCCCTGAGAAAACATCCACACCTTCTGGGATGGTACATCTGGATGGTACATCTGATTATATCACCAGCATGCCCACTCCTGTCATTAAGGATCCATGGGAAACCAGTGATGGCCACTTCCTGGAGCACATCCCTGTTCATGTCCCAACTGAAACGCCTGAAAATCGGAGTGTGATGGAACGTGGTGGAGATCACAGCCTGGATCAACAAGACCAAGCTGGAGAGGGTGCTTGTGCAGAAGACCCCTGTCACGGTTCAGGCCGCGGGCACATGATCACAGCAATTATCATTGGCATCATAGCAGCAGTAGTGGGTGTGGTCTTGGGGGTGTGGTGTTATAAAAAGAGGCAACAAAAGAGCTCGCACTACCAGCTTAATGGAACTAACAGGCAAACACAGTGCATTGAATTACAACAGACTGTGTGAGAGTCATACAGATCCTCATAAAACCACACAGCTTACATGAGCATCCACACAAAGCCATTCATGTGTGAACGTTACAGTCTATGTCCACCGGGGCTCAAAAAAGTGAATTTGAAATCTATCTATCTATCTATCTGTCTATCTATCTTCTAATTTTCTAGTAAAACTACAGTTATATGAAATTTAGTTCACCTAAATTTGCCTAAATTTCAAGAATTGAAATTGCATTAAAAAAAATCTTAATTCAGTTCTGAATGCCACACAACCCTGACTTTCACAAGGAGTGTGTCTGTGTTCAACACTCCTTATTTAGGTAGTATTTCTGTTTTACCATGTTTTCTATTTCTTTATATTTTCATTGTATTGTGGATAATTGTTGTATCATGAATCAGATGTCTTCTCTTGCTTTGGACGGACTGCACTGGACTGCGGGTCGGTGCATGTGTGTACATGGTGCCCGTCTGTCCTTGTTAACAGATTTGTATGTGTTTATAGTTTTGTCCATTATGAGTGAGCGTGTGTGAAAGAATCATTGTGACTTTAGCCTATTTTGGTTTTGAAAGAGAGCAGTCAGTTAAAAGAGAGTGTGGTTGAACTCAGTATTCTCTGTGTGCTATTGAAAGTTTCCAGCTTGCAGACAGGTGAGACATTCTGGTCAGAGGAACTGAGGGTAAATTCTGATTGGCTTTCAGCTCATACAGACCTAGAGTAGGTAGAAAAATAGCTTTCATCCCTAAATTTAGAATACAATGAGCATTTGTTCATTTCAAACCTTTTTCCTATAAATAAGTGAGTTTCTTGGGGTTGAACTCAGGACTCAGAAAGATTCACACTCACAGACAGGTGAGACATTCTTCTCAGAGGAACTGAGGGTGGATTCTGATTGGCTTTCAACACGTTTACAGTTTGTTGAGTTTCAGTTTCTTTAAAAGATATGTAGTACTATAAAAGTTATATCATAGCAGACTATTTTCTACATATATTTTCCCAAATATCTCATTGATGTTCAGTGCAAATTTTTTGGCCGTGTTTTGTACAAGATATTCAGTCGACTTCAACAACGTTTATGAGGCATATTTATATAATGTGTATTATAAATGTAAAAAAATTAGAACTAGTGAATTAAAACAAAACAAACACAGTTATCAGTTATGTCTAAATCGCTTTTTATTTCAATTGTCATACTGAGGTCAAACATATATAGCATACACTCTAACAAATGCTGGGTTGTTTCAACCCAACTTTGGGTCAAATATGGAGTAACCCAACTGTTGGGTTAAATTTTTACATTACATTTTTAACCCAAAAGTTGGGTTAGTCCATATTTGACCCAAAGTTG